GTGCGCGACTCCCTGAGCGCGTGCACCGCGCACAGCGGACAGCACTGCGTACTGCGCACACCGCACGGCGCACAGTGCGCGCACTGTCGTTCCAGCGCACAGCGCAGTGCGCACCGCCCCGCACCGCACTGCGCACTGGTGCGCCGCAACTATGCCCGAAGGGGCTTAAACCACCAGTACATCCGAAAAAGCAGATTGAGCCTCTGCTAAAATTTCGGAGGGCATGGACCATCGAGAAAATGAATCGGCGGTTCACGGGCTCCCATTTTTCAAGAGAGGCCCAATGTCCTTTTTTGGATGTACAGGTGGTTTGAAGGGGTGTAAAGGGGTATGATAATTACAATGATATAATTTAGTACTTCATTTTTATTTTTATTTTTTCAATTTCGGACTGCATAGCGAATTTCACGGTCACCCTCAGGCAAAAGATGTTTGGTTTAGAATTCTGCATGACATTGTGTTTTTTTTTTTTTTTTTTTTTTTTTTTTTGCGCTGGGACTCTGCTCGGGACCTTGACCGGGACTTTGCCCGGACCTGGCCCGGCCAGGCCACCGGGGCCAATCTGAGGCGACCTGGGCCGCCCGGCTGGTATCACAGACACCCGGTCATTATCGCTGCGTGTGGACTGAAAGTTGCCCTGAATACAGACCGGGTTTTCTATTCGGGTGCTGCCGCCGGCATACTGCTGCTGTCTCCTGTGGGCCATGAGCAAGCAGGTGGGGTGTCTGTGGACTGTGCGAGATTCGACGAGACGACTGTATTCAGATTTCACGACAGGACTGCAAAAGCATAGCTACACCTGTCAGATTTGGTGTCAGAAGGTTGAAACGTAGCTGCACCTGCGCGCTACGAGTACGCCGTTTTTGTCAAAAGCATGATCACCATGGTGATCACTGGAGACCGCTGGCGATGACACCTAACGGATTGATTGTTTGTGTTGTCATGTAGTCGACGTTTTTTAAAAGTTTTTTTAAAGTTTTTTTACCTTCACCATCAAGCAACATCTTACTCTTGGGTAAATGCGTGGACGTTGTTTTCGCAAATGGGTGATGATGGTGGTTGTGTCTTGCAGGCCGCGATTGAGTCGGGACTTCCAGATAAGGACGTCAAGGCCATGTGTCTGAAGTATGCAGCGTTGGAGAGAAAGCTTGGCGAGATCGACCGAGCCAGAGCGATCTATGTGCATGCATCACAGATGGCAGACCCAAGGATGGATACCGCATTCTGGAACGAGTGGAATGAATTTGAGGTATATATATGGTTCTTGCACAAGTCTATCACATTTCTATGTTCTCCGGCCAATAGATACTCTCTCTCTCTCTCTCTCTCTCTCTCTCTCTCTCTCTCTTTCTCTCTCTCTCTCTCCCCCTCTCTCTCTCTCTGACTGTGCAATTCGTTGTTGCTTTTGTTCAGAGGGGAAGGAGCTCAGCTTCTCTCTCTCTCTCTCTCTCTCTCTCTCT